GAAGAGGAGCTCGCTTTGAAAGCAAAAGAAGTTGAAAACGAAAAAGAGAAGCAAGCACAGATGTTTAAAACCCAGGAGGCCATGATTACAAACATGGCAAAACAACAAGATCAGATGCAAACACTTCAAATGGCTTTTTTGCAGCAACAGCAACAACAGACACAGGCCATGATGGTGTTGTTAGAAAGACTTGCGAAAAAATAGTAACTTAGTTCCCAAACTGAGATTGACAATAGATTGATTTACTCTTTCTTGTAAATTTATTGCAGCTTCAAGTTACTGATTTTCTTTGTTTGGTGTCATTTTGAATTTTCTATTTCTCAAGTAGGAGTGAATTTTGTTGGGTTGCTCACAGTTATACTTTCTTTGTATTCAACTGAAAAAAAAAACCCCACAATTCATGTAATTCATTTCATAACAAAGACGGATTAACTCTCTTGCTTCCTTGAAGGATGACATTTTTGCCAATAAAATGACTCCACAACAACGCTTTGCGCTCTTAGCTGCCGCTGTAGTGTCGCTATAGCTTAACGATTCGTATTTGGCGGGAAATACGCCGTACTCACCCTAGTCGATGGTGGCCAAGGTAGCCGTAGTACAGATTCACCGTACCGTATCTTAAAGTCTCTAATATACAACTTCGGCAACTTCGTACGCCACAACGCGATGCAATTCCGCTTTTGAATTTTGTATGCTAGCAGATGGTCCGTTAATCTCTTAGAAAATAGTAATTTCTTGTTATTTTGTTACGTTTAAGTCTGAATAGTAACCCGTTGAAATAAAGTACTCCGCGTCTCTTTCGCGGAGGTAAAATGAAGGTCAACTTCAGTGCCCTATGAACAGGTCTGCCATATATATTTACAAATCCTAATGTACATCATCGTAAAGCTTTATCCTTTTATTTTAATTCCTCCAATTCTATATCTTCGCCCGCTAGAAGCGGCACTTCCAGGTTTACAAGAGTGTGGGCTATTTTGTCAAAAATGTGATGCGAACCACAGAACAGCTGTCACGACGCATTGGAAGCCCTTTAAAAAGGTTTTGTATGATATATTTACAAATCAAAATATATATATCATTATAAAGCTTTATCTTTTTAGTCTAAGTCCTCTAAGTTTCTTTCTTGGCCCGCCATAGGCGGCGTGTCTAGCTTGAAAAGAGTTCGGGCTAAAATGACAAAAAATGTAATGCGATCCGTTGAAC